GTACAAGTTACATGATATGGACTATTTATACACACACTTTACATTAGCTCATCTAGAAGATTTTCTTAGCAGTTAGTTTAACTGCATAACTAACTTTTAACTGCTTTCTAACAAACTTAGTTAAGCCTAACTCAAGTGTGGTTACATCAGTTTGCTTCCTTGGTTTAACACTCCTCCTCAAGTTGATGGCTTGAATATATCTTTTAGGCCTAGCTTCCTTAGCAAGTATTCATGTTGAGCTCTTCCTAGTCCTTTAGTAAGTACATCTGGCAGTTGTTCTTCAGTAGACACATGATCAGTTTTAATCATCCCTTGGCTTATCCTTTCTCTTATAAAGTGACAGTCAATGTCAATATTTTTAATTCTCTCATGAAATATGGGGTTTGCAGCCATTTGAATAGCTACCTTGATGTCATACCTTAAGGTCATAGGTTGTTGAACTTGAACTCCTAGTTCATAAAAAAGTCCTACCAACCAGGTAAGATCTGCAGTGCAGGCTGCCATACTTTTGAACTCAGCTTTAGCTGAGCTTCTAGACACAATTTCTTGCTTCTTGGATTTCCAGGAAATCACTACTCCACCAAGTTTAACTAGATACCCTGTGACAGATCTTCTAGTTTCCATGCATACTCCCCAGTCTAAATCACAATAGGCCATGAGTTGATTTGTAGTTCCAGCAGGCATCAACAATCTCATTCCTGGTGTACCTTTGATGTATCTCACTACTCTTAGAGCAGCTTCCATGTGAGATTTTTTTGGACAATGCATATATTGACTCAAGACCTGTGCTACAAAGACATGTCAGTCATGTACATCCATCTGGTAGATACACCACATATTTGAGGCTACAAGAGCAATAAGAGATCTGTCAGTCACCATTTTGGCAACTGGAGACAAAGTCTCAAACTAATCCAACCTAGCATGTTGACTATAACCCTTGGCCACCAGCCTAGACTTATATCTTTCCACTTCCCCAGAAGCTTTGTACTTAACTTTATATATGCACCTGCAGCCAATAGGAGTTTTACCACCTGGGAAATCTACAATAGACCATGTGTGATTGGATTCTAAAGCTGCAACTTTCAATTTCATAGCATGAACCCAGGCTGGATCTTTGGAAGCCTGTTGAAAGGAGACAGGTTCTGTAATAGCGGAGTAAGCAGACAGGGCATGTAGATAGGACTTGGATAGATGTGAATATGTGACAGAGGAGGAAATGGGATAAGCACACTGGTTTGCAGTAGAAAAAGAGACAACAAAGTCAGTCATCCGTGTAGGAGGAAGTCTAACTCTGGTGGATTTTCTGAGAGCAACAGGAGATGGTGATGAGGTTTGAGGAAGTGGGGAGGAGGACTGGAGAGATGGAGAAGGAATAATAGGTTCAGTAACATGGAGAGTAGTAGACTGGATAGGAGTAGCTGACTCAAAGCTGGACAAATCAAGAATAGGAAAAAGAGGAGAGCCAGAAGATTTTGCATGAATGAAAGGAAAAACTGACTCCTGAAACACTACATTTTTGCTAACATAAAAGGATTTGGAATGAAGATCATAGATTTTATATCCTTTTTTAGTATAGGAGTAACCCATGAACACCCCTGGAACAGCTCTAACCTTGAATTTATCAGATTATGGTGTAGGTGAGGCATAAGTCAAACATCCAAGAACTCTAAGATGAGACAGAGAATGAGGATGATCATACAAAAGTTCAAAGGGAGTTTTGGATTTTAACAACTTGGAAGGAAGTCTATTGATAATGTACACAACAGTCATAACACACTCACCCCAAAAGTTTAAAGGTAAACCAGCTTGGAACCTAAGGGACCTTGCTACACCTAGGATGGTTTTGTGTTTTCTTTCTACCACCCCATTTTGTTATAGGGTGTAGACACAAGAACTCTGATGTAAAATGTCAAGATCAGACATAAGAGACTGAAATTCAGTAATAAAGAATTCACATCCATTATCAGTTCTTAGTATTTTCACAGAAGTTGAAAACAAATTCTTTATTCTAGTAAGGAAATTTCTCAGTACAACAATGACTTCAGACTTGAACTGAATTAGAAACAACCAGGTGAACCTAGTGTGATCATCTACTAAGGTAACAAAATATCTTTTTCTATCATGAGTAGGAATTCTATAGGGACCCCAAATATCACAATGCAACAACTCAAAAATAGACTTAAAATAGGTACTACTAATAGGAAAAAAAAGCTTAGTATGTTTTGCCAAAGGGCATACAATACACATATGATGTGAATGATGTAAATTTTTAGGATGTTCATGCTTTCTGATGACATCCAAAGGAGCATGACCCAGCCTTCTGTGCCAAAGAGTGTTGGACTCAGGAGAGTTATTAGGAGTATTGACACATCTAGTTGTGAGACCACATATAGCTAGCTTCACATACTTACCCTTTAAGATGTACAGACCCTATTCTTCTCTACCAATCCCCTTCACCATGGCATTGGAGAGATCCTGAAATATGCAAAAGTCAGGAAAAAATGCTATAAAACAGTGTAATTCCCTGGTTAACCTTGAGAATGATAACAGGTTAAATTTAAAATCTGGTAGTAGAAGGACATTGGAGATAGGACTATCATTGAATATTTTTGAACTCCCTGTATAAGCTATTGGTACTGCCTGTCCAGTAGGAAGATGAACTTTATTGTCCTCATGTTGTGCAATTTTATGACATGTATGTAACACCTCAGGATTAGATGTCATATGATTGGAAGCTCATGTGTCTACTATCCAACTAATATTTACATTATTGGTTGAAATAGAACTTTGAGTACCTACATTTGCAGTTTGAAGAGTAGGGGTGAATCATCATTCCCTTTGTTCAACAAATGAAGTATCTGTTGGTACTGCTCTCGAGTGAATGAGGAAAGATGAGGTGTTTGTGCTGCAGTTCCTGACTTGCCCTGATTTGTTCTATCATAAGAGCTTGAGTTCTCTAACTTAGAATCAGAGGAGACATAGTTTCCTAGTTGATTTGCAAACTGAGATGATCTTTTTTTCCTGTTCTTAGGCCAATCAGAAGGATATACAATAAGCTTGTAACACTGCTCCTTAGTGTGCCTATTGTAGTTGCAAAACTCACATATTATTGATCCCTTCTTTTGAGGTCTGACTACACCTACTGAGGACACTATACCCTTGTGATTACCTCCCGAATTAGAACCTCCTCCTGAGAATGTCCTACTAGAGTTAATACCTCCTCCATTATAGCTAGACTGACTTCCCTTGTGACTGAAGAAGCCATCACCTTCCAACAACTCAGAGACCTTACTTACTGAAGAGGTCATGGCAATAGATCTTTGACTTTCGTGATTTATCACCAATGAGTAGGCCTTGTTCAGTGTTGGAAGAGGTGTTAACATCAGGATTTGACTTCTACATTGGGCATATGTCTCATTAAGGCCTATGAGAAACTGTAGTAGCCTTTGATATCCATAATGTTGAGCATAATTGCGAGATCAGGACAATTTCACCCAGGACATGGCATGAGTGCATCAAACTCATCCCATATGTTTCTCATCATTGAGAAATAGTCATAAACAGATCGATTGCCTTGTGTGAGTGTAGCAATTTCTCTATGGAGATAGAACACTCTTTAACCATTCACAGTATCAAATCTCTCTTGCAAATCTAGCCAAACCTTATGAGCATTTGATGCATAGATGATGCTGCTTAATAGCTCAGATTTTACAGCATTCATAATCCATGACAAAACCACTGCATTTACCTTCTCTCACTGATCATGCAGTGATGTTTCAAACTTATCTCTACTGTGTCTGCCATCCACAAAGCCTAATTTGCGTTTTCCTAACAATCCTAATCTCATCGATCTACTCCAAAGTGCATATTTCTCAGATATAGTAAGTTGAATTGAGATAAGTGAGCTACCTGGAGTATCATTAGGTTGTAGGTATAGAGGATGTGTGTGATCAATCACAGATCTGCCTGGAATCGATGTATTTGTTGTAGGAATTGTACCTTCCATTTCCATGATCTCGATCTTCTTATCAACTTGAATATGAGACTAATCTAGACTGCTGCACTCTCTGATCGAGGCTCTGATACCATGTTAACTTCATAGATGAAGAATTCCTAAGTTCTCAAATAGAGGAAGCAGACAAGTGTAAAGGGAAGAAGAGTCTGAAGAAATCTAAATTCTCATTGAATTCATCTTAGCATACAAGTTACATCATATGGACTATTTATACACACACTGTACAGTAGCTCATCTAGACAATTCTCTTAGCAGTTAGTTTAATTGCATAACTAACTTTTAACTGCTTTCTAACAAACTTAGTTAAGCCTAACTCAAGTGTGGTTACATCAGCTTGCTTCCTTGGTTTAACAGTATAAGAAGATGAATCTTCAATTTATAGAGTTTTAAATTTTTCCTCTAAGAAAAGAATAACCAAATATGATAATGTTTTGACTTTTCTTTGCGAGAAAAAAAAATCAAATAAAATAAGAAAATGAGGGCAAAACTGTTAACATTTTTCCCGGATGACATAAACTTTGTGCTTAGCAACTTCGGAAACGGGGAGTTCAAATGGTTTCAACTTTTAAAGTTATTTGTATTCTTTTCATGCAAGAGAAATGATTGAAGATTTAGATAAGTGAATCAATTGCGAACGTATAGTTCTTTCTGTCATAAATATCAAATCCGAACCTATAAATTATTTTCTATATATGTACCTTCATAATTTTCATTTGATAATACTGAGTTACTGTTTCATTATAGTGACTAATTTTATTGGGATTTTGTTTACTAAGAGACACTTGTATTTTCTTTTTTAATCATTAACATCTTAAACCTCTGATGGTGAATATACGCAGGGGCGGATGTACAGTGTACCGAGGGGGTTCATCTGAACCCCCTCGATAAAAAAATTACTCCGTATATATAAGATCAATTTTTTTGTTTACGTGTATATAATTAAAATTGAACCCCCTGAGTATATGTATGTGAAAGGAGTAGCTCAATGGTAAACTGGGTTCAGGAAATTGCGTTTGTGAGCTTGGTCACGGGTTTGAATCCAGCAAGCAGCAATTTTTGTTTCCTAATTTTTAAGCGTTTTTGTTGGCTGTAAGTTTTAAGGGTTTTCATTAAAGTAAATAAACTGAATGACGACGTTTCAAAGGATTAAATTTTTTAAAATTTTAAATCACTAATTGAAAAGTCAACAAATAAAAAAACCCCTCTTTTCTAGGGATTTCAATATTTTAATTTTTTCTCCTCCTAGTCTTCTCTTTCAACGGAATACTTAGTCTGGTTTTGCTGCTTGTTGTTGTCGCCCCCTGCTCCTGCTTGCTGTCGCTGCTCGTTGCAGTGCCACTGGTGGTTCTCCGACCTCCGCGGATCATTTCATTCTCTCCTACATTCGTGATTCAACCATTGATGGCAACCTTTGTAAGTTCTTGTATTTTTTTTTAAAAATTCAGAATTCTATATGCTTTGATTTTGGTATTTGTTGATGTGCTCGTATATTTAGCTTATTTAACTCGGATATTCACTTCTCTTGACAAATTTTTTTTCATATGAAAATTTCAATTCTATTCCGTATTCACTGATTACATGAACATGAAAGTTATACTTTTTTTTTGTTTTGGCTTATTGGTTGATTTTATATATTTATTCGTTGGGGTATGGACTATGGTGTATGGACATTCAACATTTGTTCCTGAACATTCAACTTTTATTTTGTTAGAGATTCAAACTTTGGTTCACTGCCTTATGCCTATAATTTTGTTTTGGTCCTTATTGCATGTTTAATTTTTGTAAGTTCTAACTAAATTATTATTTTACGATTCAGTCTCAATATTTAATGAAGAAGTATTTTACTCAAATACCGAAATCAAGTTTAGCCCCTCATAGTCATAGTCAATCTAATCAAAAAGAAAATACCAATCATTCAGAAGTATCATTAGATTCTTCTCAAGAATTTGATTTGAGTTCTTTAAAGTTTGATCCTGGAGAAAGAACATCAATATTGAGCTATCATCCAAATCATCATGATGTTATTAGAAGAGCACACCTTTTGAATGGTCCTTGTCAACCTCGTCTGGCGGTGCATGAGTATTCTCAAACAAATATTTCTGGATCAATGCGTCGTTTTAATCATGAATGGTTTGATGATATATATCATGATTGGTTGGAGTATAGTGTTAGTAAATATGTTGTCTATTGTTTGTATTGCTATCTATTTAAAGATTATAACACTAATCAAGGAGGAGGGGAAACATTTTCAACTATAGGATTTAAGAGCTGGAACAAAAAGGGTGGTCTTGACAAACATATTGGTCTACCGAATAGCATACATAATCGGTCAAAAAACAAATGTCAAGATTTACTACGACAACAACAGTCTATTCAATTTGCATTTGAGAGGCAATCTAATCAACTCAAGCATGGATATTTGATGCCCTTAATTGCGTCGGTTGATGTAGTAAGACTTCTCATAAGTCGGGGATTTGCATTTCGAGGTCATGATGAATCTAAATCATCACTTAGTAGGGATAAAATTCTCTCATGGCATGCAAAAAAATATGATAAAATTCGTAATTATGTTTTGGAACATGCTCCTTCAAATGATCAAATGACTTCTCCAATGATTCAAAAAGATATTGTGAGTGCATGTAAGATAGAGACCGTTAAAGCTATTCTTGAGGAATTAAATGGTGACTACTTTGCTTTACTAGTTGATGAATCATTTGATGTGTCACACAAGGAGCAAATGGCTATTGTATTTCGATATATTGATAGAAAGGGATTTGTAATGGAGCGACTTATTGACATTGTTCGTGTTCAAGATACTAGTGCTCCATCTTTAAAGGAGGCAATTTTTAATTTACTTGCTCAACATTCTTTGAGTCCATCAAGTGTGCGTGGACAATGTTACGATGGGACAAGTAATATGCAAGGTGAGATCAATGGCCTTAAAATGTTGATTAGACGATAAAGTAAATCGGCTCATTCCATCCATTGTTTTGCTCATCAACTTCAACTAACTCTTGTTGGGTCTCTAAAAAGTGTGTTGAAGTGGAAAAACTTGTAGTATTGATCTCAAATATTTTTAATGTATTGGTATCTTCTTTTAAGCGTATGGATATTTTACGAGATTCTCAAAAATCAACAATTTAAGTGGCATTAGATATGAGTGAACTTACAACCGGTAGGAGCATGAATCAACAACTTGATCTTTCAAGAGTTTGTGATACTCGTTGGGGATCTTATTATAAATCCTTTAATGATTTTATTATTATGTTTGGCTCTATTCTTGAGGTTCTTGAATCACTTGCTCTTGATACAAGGAGTATGGATGAAAGAGCCAAGGCAATGGGACATCTTGAAGCTTGTCAAACATTTGAGATTGCGTTTATGTTGCATTTGATGAGAGATGTCTTAGCAATCACAAATGATCTTAATAAATGCTTACAAAAAAAAAGAGCAAGATATTGCAAATGCCATGCTACTTGTTGAAGTAGCAAAGAGAAGGTTGCAAGTCTTAAGAGATGATGAATGAGATTCTCTTATTGCCAAGGTATCTACATTTTGTATCAAACATGATGTTTTGATACCTAACTTTGAGGAGCCATATGTTAGCTCTTTAAGATCACGACGGAAACTTGCTAACTATACAATCTTACATCATTATCGTGTTGAAGTGTTTTGCAATATCATTGATTGGCAACTTCAAGAACTTAATGATCGTTTTGATGAGGTGACTACCGATTTGCTCCATGGAATTGCTTGCTTGAATCCAATTAACTCATTTTCAAGTTTTGACTTAAGAAAAGTAATGAGAATGGCTGAATTATATCCAGATGACTTTGATGAATCCAATATGAGTATTCTTGAGAATCAACTTGCAAGTTATATTATTGATGTTCACGATGTTGATGAAAGGTTCTCCGATCTAAATGGTCTTTGTAATCTTTCCAAAAGATTAGTCAAGACAAAGAAACATTCAAATTATCCTCTGGTATTTCGCTTAGTGAAACTTGCTCTACTCTTACCAGTTGTCACTGCCTCTGTTGAAAGAGCTTTTTCGGCAATGAAGTTTATCAAGAATGATTTGCGGAGTCAAATGAGTGATGATTTTTTTAGTGGTTGTTTGGTGCCTTATTTAGAAAAAGATGTATTTGATAATATTTCTAATGATGTTATTATTAAGACATTTCAAGATATGAAACCTCGTAGAATACAATTGTAATAATGTATGTAGTTGCATTTTCAAATGTAAAATTATGTTTTGATGGTTTCTTAACCTCCCTTCAAAGTTGTGTAGATTTGTAATGTAATGAAGCCATTTTATGCGAAAAAGAATTTTTGTGAAGAAAAAGTGCTTTTTCTTTGATTTGTGTTTAGTGTTAGTCTCTCTAATGTTAAATTTGTGTTTGCTCTTCATTTGCACTTTTAGGAGTCGAAGAGAATTCTAAAGGAATTGAAGAACTTGTACAAATTTTTGAATGAGTTGTGCTACTTTATTATCATTTTATAGATATGTACTTTAAATTTGTTTCTTAAGATAAGTTGTAATTGTAAGAAATTATTTGAACTAAGGATTTATTTTGTCAACCCGTTTGTTATTCAATCCGTTCATATATGATCCGACCCGTTTATTTATGGATATTATTAGCGTGCTTAACTTTTTTTTTTGAACTCCCTTGATTGAATTCCTGCCTCAGCCACTGAATATATGCATGAGTACTATCTTTATCCAAGCTAAATAAACTAATCAATATTTTTTAACTTTGCTGTAGGCAAAATTATGTATAATATAAAATGTAAAAGGTGTGTTTTATTAATTTTGACCTCTTCTATAGTTAATTAATAAAGCTCTCTACTTAGGGATCCACGATGCAACAAGCGTATGTGTCCAAAACTAGTAGTGAAAGAAAAAAGAGAAAAATCTGGTTGACGTCCAATTTTTTTTTCTGATCATCAAATTCTAAACAAATTTCCCCTCTCTCTCTCTATCTATCTCATTCTTTGTGTTTAAAGAATGTCCTCCAATCAAAAGAGATTCTAAATCTAATTCTTTAACAATAAACCAAAGCAAACCCCTTTGAAATAGAATGGGAAAGGGACCAAAATTGGTGTTAGTGAATCAATGTACAAGTCAGAAATAAGAAGAAGATTAATTGAAGGTTTGCATACTAATATTAGTCATGCAGACCTCAGACATAATGGAGGACGAAGATGTTAGCCCGAATGCTTCATTACAAAGGAATGGATCATTTATTTGTGTAGCAGCACCATTCTTGTATGATAAGTTACCTGAGGAACCCCTTAAGCTTTCCATCCTCAAATTGGATGGCTCTTCTTTCGGTAATTAATTATACGTACATTTCTATTATATTATATTATATTCATGTGTATGGATTTTTATTAGTTGATGAATTTTGAGATTTAATTGTAGATATTGAAGTGCCTAGAAATGGTAACGTGGAAGATCTCAAACGGGCCGTGGTAGAGGCCTTCAGCCATTGCAAGATTTCATGGTATGTACCATATATGTACATTGTCAATCCATATCTTTTTTTGTTCACCTAGCTAGCTATGAGAATTAATAAAACAATTTGGTAGAATAAAAAGAAAATTTTATGGGATATTGTGAATTTTATTTTTCTCCGTCATTCGATTTTCATGACATTAATGAATTTTAAATGTCATTAAAAGCAGCGAGTGCTAGCGTTAGATCACCCCAATTTGAAACTTTTGCTATTGCAGGTTACATGTATGGGGGCATTTTTGTCTGAGCTATGGCGGACAGAAGCTACTTTCAGATGATGATTTGATAGGAACCTACGGGATCAAGGATGGCGATGAGGTTTATTCTCTTCCATTGGATGTTTTCATAAAAAAATAACATTCATATTATCTTATATGATTTAATAGTTGTATGCTTGTTGTAATTATATTGGAAACTGCATTCCGGAAAAGGGGATGATATAGGGTCAGAGTGAAAAAAAGTTCAAATTGTTGAATCCTAGAGTATCTTTAGGTTTTATGATATCTTCACGTTTCATAGCTATAATTTTATTCACTGTCCATCTGATTGATTAGTTTCCTTTTTTCATGGTCGAAAAAGGATCTTTGATCTCCTAATCTTTCAAAATAATAAATCTGAAACATGGAGATAGACATATTTGGTATAAATTGATCATATGCAATAGCTACACAACATAACCCTGGAGATAGTTATGTTTGACTTGGATCTCTTAGATATATTTATAATCCATTGTCTGAGAACCTGTATTGTTATAACCCTTGATTAGCATACAGCTTCGAGTTGATTTTCTGCATACCACATTATTGATGTGCACTTATATATGCAAATGTATTATTTTCTTATGTGCTAGCTGTAACTGAAATTATTTGAGTATTTCTTTGATACCCTAACATTGATAATTGTTTTTGTTGATTTTGCAGCTTAGTTTTGTGAGACATGTATCGGTTGGTTACAATCCAAAAATGACAGAATCAGAAGGAGAGGAGCATCAGTTTGATCATCATAAAGTGTAAGTTGTATAATATTGATTTCATCCTCATCATTTTACGTGGATATAGTTGTTTTTCATAAATTCAACTATTGTTTTTCCTCTAGATTTGCATTTGAGCTAATAATATTGTTGGAACACCTACTCAATCTGCAGATCGAATGATTTTGATGAGGAAGAGCTGAAAGGTGAAAAAGAGTATAATGATCACCAAGATGATGAAGACAACAGTTCGGAGGACGAGAATAATGGGTGTGGTGTTGGTAACTGCCAATACAGGTTATTTCACTTATTTAGAGGATTATTCTCATATCAGAAACTGGAAATTTCAGAAAGAAGTGCAGAACAGAAGACAGAGTAATGCATGCATCAAGAGTTGTAAAAATGCTTAGGGATCCGACTTGTAAAAATAAGTATATTATGACATTCAGAGAGATGGACGTACGTGGAAATAAAGCATGCAGAACAATTTTTGCAGTTCTAGGATATGAATCAACTTGAACGAACATCTATTGTAATCAACAATCTGATCCGACCTCTAGACTTGTAATAACTTTGCAGAGAAAGTTACAATTATTTGAAAGAATATTTGTTACGGCTAGCTACTCTGTCTCATTAATTTATAGATGACAAATAATGTATATAAGATGAAACGAGATGGGTTCGACCAGAGTTGAGAGCTACATAACTTGGAAAATTGCACTAAAAATCTCATGCAGCTCTACTGCAAAACATCTAAAAGAAATCCCCCTGACTGATCATACTTAAATGTTGACAAAAATACTCTATTTCATAAATCATAGCTTGCTAATTTTAGACTCTTTAACTTTATAATTTCTGTCTATATATATATTTCGAAAGATAAGAAGATAAATGGTTTAGTCCATCAGTTATTAGATATCATACCAATGTTTAGTCATACCTTTATGCATATTATTTCAAATGATTACAACATCTACCATAAAATTCGAATCAGCAGCATCTACCTGATAGATTGATATTTTCCTACCTTTAAATCTTATAATATTTTTTGAAGACAATGTATGTCACAAAACCTTCGATTATTTCATTGCACACCTGCTGTATTCTTTATTTTGATGAATTAAGAAACTATGGTACAACGGGACCTGGTCCGCTGAGGGATCTAGCAGAGGTGTCTGCAGTAGTTGGTGGGCACTGTAGCAGATGGAAGGAAAGGACAACAGTCCTCGACCAATGGCGTTGCTCCTAGGTTTTTGTCACTCTTTTAAAGAGAACATGTTGACAAGATTAAACCTAATTTTTGCAATCACGAATATTAAAAAGCAAAAGCCACTCTCAAGGAAGAACTGCTAACATACGTAACAAGGGACCTGATCGAGTGTTGTAGCACCTTCAATTCTTGTTCATATTGTAGATCTAATCCTATGATATAAAGGATCATAGATCATCTCATCTGTTGTTATTGTTGAGTGAGTTTGTGGCTAGAGTTAGCCGAGTTGTGTTGTTGAAGTCTGTATTAGCTAGAAGTAGTTGATATAGTAGCCAATAGAGTTATTGTTTTGTGTCTTGTAATAGAGGAGTTACAAGGTGTATAGGATTCTGGGTGTAATGATTTGTAAGTATTTGATAACAGTCAACTACACACTTATAATTCGATGTGTAAACAAACATATGCAATATAAAACCCAACGAAGAGATGGAGTTGATCCCACATGGAATGGATGATAGTAATTCACCCTATGATGTATTCTATTTCACAAGAGATTTGTACGTTGATCCAATTTATGCATATAACTTCATTGGTGTGTGTGTGTGGGTGGGGGGGGGGGGGGGGGGGGATGACGATTCAATTACAAATTTGAACGCTTAATACGTTGTAACAAGTTCTCGAACGCAAAGCCTTAAACAAGGGATGTTCACAAGTAATTCGGGACTCTTAGCTAGCATTTGGCCATAGATTTTTAAATATTTTTGGCAAATATTATTTGGACGAAAAGTTAGACGAAATTTCAGCATGTGTCTGGTCATAGTATTTGAAAAACATATTTTACTTTTTTAGGAAAAATATGATTTATACTCATAAGTTTTAAAAACTAGCAAAACTAACCATAAGTTTATATTACACGTCAATTGGATATTCGTTGCAACAAATAACAAGTAGTGTATGTTACACTAGAGCAATGTGGTAGTTTGGAGTGAGTGCACCAAGCATCATTTCATACAACTGAAGTAGACAAAGCACCTAGCTTTGTTACCCTAAACCAATTGTTCTTCATTTTCACCAATAACCATATCATCACTTTCAAGTGAATATTTCATTACTATTTTAGTGTTCACGTAAAAAATTATGTAATATAGTACAAACAACTACTATAGAGTGTGTTTTTGTAAAAGATAAAATTTTGGTGTAGAATTTGAATTTTTAAAAGATCACAAATAATGAAATTTGGCCCAAATACTAATTTTTTTCTAGCATTTAAGAATTTGGGTTATTTGCCAAAAATATTTGCCAAATAATGACAAATTATATGGGCAAACACTATTTGCCAAAAAAAATTTCCAAACTTTACTTGGAAATCTATGGCCAAACGGGTCCTTAAGAGTGTGCTAGCATGGATGATAATTCTACAAATTGGGTATTAGCAATTGCTAAAATTGGTTAATTCTTAATGGGTAAGCTATATTCAAGGTAATGACTACTATTTATCAATTGACAATCACAAATCATGTAGGTTTTCATCAAACCCAAACAATAGCATTAAAATTTGACTTGAAAAAATACATGAATTATGGGAAGAAATGGAATATATTGCAGAAGAAGGTCAAGAACCATAGGTGGTGGAGATCTCAATTATGATACTAAGTGAAGAGGAGAAGTTAGCTAGGGGGATTGTGGTTACCTAGACTAAGGCAACTAACTTTGCCTTCTGCATCAATAGTTGTGCATTAGCATATATTAAAGTGATTGAAAGCAGATACACCAGTGGAATGGGAGGATAGAAGACGGGTATATTTTCAAAAGACCAGATAAAATCTTGATAAATCAAACCTTCATAGAGAGTTTCCCTTCAAGCGAGGTTCACCATCTCATTACGCAAGGGTCAAATCATGGCACATTGCATATAATATTTACTTCTGAAGAAGAACCTACCGTCAGACCATTTAGATTCCTAAACTTTTGAGCCAAACAACATCAATTTAAAGGAATAGTGAAAAAGAATTGAAACACTGATTTTGTGGAAAGCTCTATCATGAAATTTTAGTTTAAACTCAAAGAAGTAAACATAGCCCTGACTAGATAGAGTAAGGAGGTGTTCGACAATATTTTCCAACAACTAGCCACTTTGGATGATGTGATAATGGTTAAAGAGGCTTAATTGGAAATTCATCTAATAACAACTATTATAGAAAGAATATTGGTAGCAGAAAATCGGGGATGAGGTGGTTTTCAGAAGGACACAGAAATACTAAATTCTTTCACTTCTATGTCAAAGGAAGAAGGAAAAAATTCCACCCAACTCAGATAAACCATATATATAGGGAGATTTTGTAACCACCAAACAACAAATAGGAGAGGAAGTTGTTGATATTTTCTCAAAGCAATTCACTGAAAAGGTTTTTAATCATGACTTCTCCATGCTCCAGAACATCCTACAGGTGATTACAAAGGATCAAAATAAGGATATAATTAAATTGCCCATCCTGGAGGAAGTAGAAGAGGTGGTATTTGAGCTCAATTAGGATAGTGATAGTGGCACTGATGGCTTCTCAGTATAAGATTAAATACTTTCAGGATCTTGAACACGATAATCTTACATAGAGATTGTTAGGGGCACATATCTGATGCGGAAGACACCATCACAGAGAGAAGCGGAAGCGTTAGTCGTAAATTGGTTTCTACCTCCTTGCCCAAACTTTATGTTACCACAACTGTTAGCGATGGAATTATTGTAGAGAATATGTGATAGCCCTAATGGGTGGAGGGATGACCAATTTATAGAGATTATGACTTAATCTGGTACGTCCATCAAGTAACTAATGTACGGACGAGATCTATTCCTAACGTGGGCCATAATTAAGAAATAATTAATAATAATTCTTACATTCTCCCACTTGGCCCAATGACCATATAACATTACTATTTCATATTAGTGGCGCATGTAATAAATCTCTTCTATAATGTCCATCATACATACCACAATATAACAAACTACTAATGCGAGTTATGGCGGTTGTACATAAATTTTAAGTTGCATACTTCCTTCCATATACTACTATATTAGCAACTCATTATACTAGGTTCATAAGCTATAAAAACATATAACATTATGGTCCACAATAACGTCTCATAGAGACTTATCTCGTAATATCTCAAAACATTAATGTATACACCATTATGAGAAATAAGAAATTCATTAATGTATATCAGAAACACATAATTTGAGCTCATAGTGTAAAAACATCATAAATATATCAATCATACGTACAACCAAGACCCATTCTTTGAACATGTTCTTTAAATGTCTTTGGTTGTAAGCCTTTTGTTAACGGATCTACAATCATGAGATCAGTTCTAATATTCTCAAGTAACACTCTTTGTTTCTGAACTTCTTCCTTAACAGTAAAGTATTTTAATTCCATATGTTTGGCACATGTGGAGTACTTATCGTTCTTGGAGAAGATTATTGTTGCAGCATTATTACAATAAATTTTTAGCGGCTTCGTAATGATGTCGACAACCCCAAGTCCTGAAATGAAGTTCCGCAGCCATAATGCATGAATTGTGGCTTCATAACATGCCACAAACTTTCTTTGTAGTTTTTTCATTAATCCATTCCAGGATTACTTTGATATACTCATAGCATTCCGATTGCAAAACTAATATCTGGTCTTGTGCAAGTTTGAACATACATCAAACTTCCAACAATAGAAGATGAAGGAATTGAATGCATTTCTTTTCATTCTACATCATTCTTTGGGCATTGCATGAGATTAAATTTGTCTCATTATTTTGAATAGGAACTATTCTTAATTATTCATGTTAAATCTCTCTAGAACTTTTTCGATATAACCTTTTTGAGACAGTCCCAATAATCCTTGTGATTTATCACGAAATATTTCTATCCCTATCACATAGGATGCCTCGCCCATATCTTTTATTTCAAAGTTCATAGAGAGAAAGTCTTTCGTCTCACGCAATATGCCTAAATCATTAGCAACAAGTAAAATGTCATCAACATACTAAAAATATAAACTTACTCCCACTAATCTTTTGGTATATACACCGATCAACGGTAATCTCCTTAAATTCAAAAGATGATATGGTATCATTAAACTTTATATACCATTATCATGAGGCTTGTTTGAGTCCATCTATTG